ATGGTATATATATATTTATAATTCGCTGTTTAAAACAGTTGCGTATAAAACAAAAAGTGTCTTGTATATACAAAGTATATTATAACATGCAAGTTTTCGGTGGATATCATTTTGGAATGTTTACATTTAGGTACAAGGGAATGAGAGAGCTGTTTGAAGGTGGTAAATATTCGATGATCCGTGAAGGTGACACCCATACGTTGATGATCTCTGAAGTGTATGGTGAGGATGCTGATGAATACACCTGCCGAGCTGTCAACAGAGGAGGAGCTCGTACATCTAGAGCAGAACTTATCATCAAAAGTAAGGGTTTTTGTAATCTAAAATCCCATATAATATTATTAAAAATGCTGATTTCATATTTTGATATTTAAAGTAACTATTGTAGCATCTAAAAAGTATTTTATGTTAAAGACTAAACAGAAAAATATTTCACTAGTTAATATTCTTCTTATTTTACAATTTTTAGGATATTTTATAACGTATTAATTTAACTGTTGAAATGACAATTTTTATCAGGTTATATATATCAGTATCATCTCTATTTGACAGCGGCACCTCATATCAACGTTCCACCTCGGTTCCGAGAGCTAGCATGTTTTGAGAAAGGAGAAAACATTGTGTTAAAGATCCCCTTCACTGGTTTTCCAAAACCTACCATCAAGTGGATGCATGAAGGAGAGGTGATTGAGAGTGGAGCTCATTATGACATCAAAGTGAGTGAACGTCACGCCATCTTAATGATCAGAGATGTCTCCAAAGCTGACAATGGACCATATCGTCTGGTGGCAGAAAATGAATTAGGAGTGGACTCTGCCATCATTAAAATCCAGATTAGTGGCAAGTATTCTGATGCTTAGCTCTGTTTTGTTTTTATATATAGTGATGATGGGATGATTTGTCTTTTTGTTTTGAATTTATACTTTGACTTTTTAGGAAGTCTGAAAGAATTTTTTCTCTTTCCTGTTCATGAAGAAATGATTTATGTCAGTGTATGAATTAGTTCTAAAGTTTTAATTATCATTATATTTTGATTACTCAGATAATTCTACCAAATACTATCAACTGTTTTTTTTTATATCTGTTAAAAGTTTAAAAACTTATACCTTTTAATCTAGTTCCAAATAGTTCATATATATAATGTCTCCCAAATATACTAAATTTTCTGATCTTTGTTGATGAAGGGGAAACATTTAAAATGCCACATTGTTCTAACAAAATATTCAGTTATAGAGAATATGGGAAACATTTTCCCTGAGATCTTAATTCTAAATTGTGTTTTCAACTTTGCGATATTGGAGGTTTAAAACATTGCCATCTTGCACTCACTAGACAAACCAGATCCTCCAAGGTTCCCTGTGATAGAAAACATTTATGAAGACTCTGTAACACTTTCCTGGAAGCCACCTCTGTGGGATGGCAGCAGCAACATCAATAACTACCTAGTGGAAAAACGAGAAGTACCCATGAGTAGCTGGATTCGTTGTGGCACTTCAAGGTTTGTGATATTTCTAACTTTCATCATTCTATTTTGAGTGTTTTGTTGTAAACAAATTCAAAAGGATTATGAGCTGCTTGAAACTTATTGTTAGTTCTCTTCAAGTTTCTTAACATTTTTGTCTGTTTATGAAGAGCAACAGTGAGTGTAAGACTAGGAATCATTGGAAGATATGACTTGTTTGATTGATAAACCAGTCTTTAGATTATACTGCTATTTCAATAGTCCCACATCAACTTTATCATTTTGAAAGATACTTTAGTATCTCCTTATTAGAGTACATCCTATAGGTGTATGTATTTTTACTATAGATTATACTGCTATTTCAATAGTCCCACATCAACTTTATCATTTTGAAAGATACTTTAGTATCTCCTTATTAGAGTACATCCTATAGGTGTATGTATTTTTACTAAATTATTTTACAGTAAAAGACACCTTATTTAATTTTTCCCTCTTTATATACATCCCTCATTGAAATGGTCAAACTGTTTTAAAATACTTAATGTATTTCTTCGAAAAAGTATTTGTTGATGTTTCTGAAATCTCTATTTAGTTTAGAGTGAATGAGATGTTAGATTCAATTTATAATGACTTGTTTTGTTTGAAAATTTCTTTAGGTTCTGTAACATGACAATAACTGGCTTGAACTCCAGTAAAGATTATGAGTTTAGAGTGTATGCTGAAAATGTTTTTGGAAGGAGTGATCCAAGCGAACCAACACAATTAATCACCACCAAAGGTAAGAAAAGTTATGAATCATTTTCTTTAGAAAAATATTACTACAAAATTAACATCACTATTAATAGCTTAAACTCCAGTAATATTATGAGTTAAGAGTGTATGCAAAAAATGAAAGATCAACTTTTTTTTTTCGTAATAATATTACTCTAACATATTTTTTTAGTTTACTTTTGCAGTTAGGTAGCTTTTGTAGAAGAGTGCTATTTTTTTGTTCTTGACTATCAAATAATATTTAAAAACAACTCCTGAAAAGAAACAGACTTGTGACTTGTTTTAGGCCTTGTATACTCTCACACATCTTAAAAAATATGTATCAGAATAATATTTTCCATCACTGTAAAATATTAAAATACCAAGAACCACTGATTATAAAGTCTCCTGATGTGATAGCGGTAAGTTTATGGTCTAACAACATTAAAATACAGGGCTCGATTCCCTGTGACAGACAAAGCAGATAACTCACTGTGGCTCTGCTCAAAACAATAACCAGTTAACTAACTGATTGTAAAAAGTGCACAGTTGTCGATGTACATAGAATACACCAAGTCTAGACAACAAAAAAATTCATAATTTTTACATCAAGATATTCAACAGCATCTAATTTACGTTTACATGTTTTATTTTGAAGCAACATTCATACTTCTCTTAAAAACAACAGGATTTATGGAAAGAGTAACCAAAATGTCTGTTTTTGATTGCACATAACTAATGCTTGAAAACACTAATAAATATAAACAAATATAATAATAAATGATAAATAAAATGGATGATTGTGAAAGTTGGGAAAAAATGAAGTATAAACAGTTCTTTCTGAATTTACCATACCATATTTTAATTTATCTTATTAAAAAATGTTTTTGTACTTAATATATAAGACCTATTACTGTTTATAATGTTACGAATGTTTTTGTACTTAATATATAAGACCTATTACTGTTTATAATATTAAAGAATGTTTTTGTACTTAATATATAAGCCCTATTACTGTTTATAATATTAAAGAATACAAGATGTTTTTGTACTTAATATATAAGACCTGTTACTGTTAATCATATTAGAGAATGTTTTATACTTGATATATAAGACCTATTACTGTTTATAATATTAAAGAATGTTTTTGTACTGGATGTATTTTTGTGATTTTTCCTTCTGTATTCCTTACAGCATCAGGAAAACAAAAAGCAAAGAAGAAGAATTACATGGGTATGTAACTTTCAAATGTTCAGAAACTAAATGAGCTAATGTTATGAAATCTATACTTTTGTAAAATTAATTTTCATAACCACTTAAACTGTTTATTGTTGAAGATACAGAGTGATAGAAAACATATCAAAGAAAATGTTCTTCCCCCAAAAATCTTACCAAATGTTTATTCATGTCCTCTTTACCTAGACACACAACCAATACATTTTCTTAATGTTCTTGACTTGACAGGCCTGGCATGGCTAGGTAGTTAGGGGACTTGACTTGCAATCTGTGGGTCTTAGGTTCGAATCCACATCCCACCAAACATGTTCGCCCTTTTAGTCATGGGAGCATTATAATTAACAGTCAATCCCACTATTCGTTGGTAAAAGAGCAGCCTGAGGGTTGGTGGTGGGTGGTGATGACTATTTGTAAGAGCCATACGTGTACACAAGCTACTTCCATAACATATCACTTCAGCTCCCATAACTCAAGCGGCTAGAAATGAAATGAGTGTTCATGCTCTTCCATATGAAGGCATATAGGTCAAGTTGCTGGATGCATTGCCAATGGATTTTTTTGCAATTAGATTGTTGAAACAGGTGCTGGAAACCTGTCATCTTTGTACATTAATGGGTTATGGCAAGCCACAAAAGAGGAAGGGTGTACTTTAAACACAATAGCTCTGTAGTAAGGCTATAATAAGCCACAAAAGAGGAAGGGTGTACTTTAAACACTATAGCTCTGTAGTAAGGCTATAATAAGCCACAAAAGAGGAAGGGTGTACTTTAAACACTATAGCTCTGTAGT